GAAGGGGTCAAACTACGGCGGCATTTACTGTTATGTTGGCCTATACTGTCCTCAGAAGCCACAAGAGATCTGTGGAGACCAGAAGCAAAGAGCTTCCCAGCTAGATGGGACTTGCTGAGGCCTGCACCTTCCAGTCCTCCACAAGGTCAGTATAACTGGTCTAGTTTCATCATCTCACGCCCATCTGCTAAAACCTTACACATCACCAGAGGTAGGAGATTCCACACTGGTTTCTTGTAGCATCCTCCTCCACCACTCAAATAGCCTGCCTTATTCTTCAGCTTGTGAGCCTGTGACTAAGGCTCAGTCATAACCCTTGGTACTGAGCAACTGAAGAAGGCTAGACTGAGCAAGCAAGAAATAGTGCATTACAACAAAATAATGCAACCCAACAACAACCAGGGTTTTTCTTAGTTTTATAACCTAGACATTATGATAAAGATGATAAAATTAAGAATACATATTTTCCCCACAGGCCCTTAGATTCCCAGAAGATTCAAGAACAATGCCATGTATCAATCATTTTACCAGTGCCTGTTCCTCCAGTGCTGTGCCACTCATTGTACAGCAGCTAAAGCCAAAGGTTATAAGAATCCAACTTCTTTACTGTGCCCTTTTTTCATTCTTATTCTTGTTCTTGACATCTTTGTGCTTTGTTCTTTTGGGTTAATGTGGCATGTCTCCAACACAGCCCTGGAAAACAACTATAATGTGGTTTGGGTTTAGTGTCATTAAACCCAATTAAGGCTTAAGGGAGTGCTCATGAAAATCCATAATTATCTCACAAAACAAAACAAAAAACCTTTTTTTGCCAGGGAACTACAAAGAACTTCACTTCTATTTAACTGTTTAGGCTACATGGGGAAAGGTATTGCCACATTGTTATCCCTCTGCACTTTTTTGTGCCTTGAAAATACCGTAATACATCAAAATCTGCTGAAAACATCAACCTTCTAAAGCTGATTTTTAATATGAAACTAAATATACAGTCTTTATTTAAAGAAAATAAAGTAAAAAACCATAGAGATCGCAATGCATCTCGACTGATGCACTTGTGCTTTGGGTACAAGGCTGGACTTTGTGACTAAATTTGTAAGGATAAAAAAAGTTCAAGCTGGACAACAGCACAGCGTGGCTCACATCAACGCAGCTAAACTGTTTAGCTTCCTACAACACAGTATTTTCCAGTAGTTTGGGCACTCCCCAGATCCCACTTCTCCATGTCCTTTACTTTGCATTGATTGCTTTTTGGGTAGGGGAGGATACTGCTCTAAACTCTGTGAGCAGAGGCATAGTCGAAGACAGGCACCAATATGCATTTTTCCAACTCCTCGTTTAATGTTTAATAGAGGACAATCTCTGCCTGTAGGCTTTTCGGTCTGTTTTCAGTTGCAAATTAAGCAGAGATCAGCCCTTACATCAACTGCTGCTTGAAAACCTCAGTAAGAATCGGGGAGAAAAAGAGCCTTTCTCTCCTGCAGTGTCAGGAAAAGGGTCTGGGGCAGCTCCACTGCTGCTCTCCATGGGCAAGCATTCCCACAAACCTGTCCCCAAAGCCTTGGCAAATCCAACAGCATTGTTGTTTGATTTTTCCAGTAATACCATCCTCAGGGAATGAGCTTGCCTAGACTTGGCATAAGCAAAACCCAGCTTTCATTTGGACCATTAAGAGGCTCACAACCTTAGGTGCATTTATTAGAAGCCGGTGTTGTCACATCCTGGTTTTAAGCTAGTGGGTGGTCTTGGGCTCTGAATACCATAGACTTCTTCCCATATAGCTCTCATATGGGTATCCAGAGCTGTTCACCACAGAGTAAATACTTCCCCACCTTCTACACAGGGACAAACCAGCAATGCCTGTGAAATGGTTGGATGTTGTGCACATGCTGAACCCCAATCAGAGGATGGATGTCCTCTGTACCTGAATGAGAGCTGGGTCTGCAGCCTGCAAAGCTGCCCTTGAAGCGCTCCAACATGCAAATTTAGAGATGTGGGTGAATGCATGTGCCATAAAGAAATATTTGAGGGACTCTCCAGCCCCAGGCAGAGAAGGTAAAACACATTGACAATCTCAGTAACAACACGAGAAATGTAGGGGGGGAACTAAAATCACCTTCTTGAAGGTACTAGGTAGGCTTTGGTTTACCCATCTTAGAAGCAGGCAGAATTCCACTCACACATTTACCCTCTACATGCAGTATGACCATATCATCTAAATCATACAAGAAATAACAAGCTTCCTTCAGAAGGTCTCAGGCTTGCCTCTCCTGCACAGTTTTATGGGTACACACAAGTACAACTGATAAAATACCCTGTGTTCTTCCCCTCCATCTACTTACCAATGAAAACAGTAAAATGACGGCAAAGGAGAAGCTGAGTCAGGCACTACTTTGCAATGTTAAGGTAAATGTTATAAACCTGCAGAGCTTTATCACACAGACCAAGGTGATGAAAACATCCTTTACACATGCCACTTCCCTACCACCTCATAGTATTAAAAACAACTTAAAAACCCACCTACTGGATTAATGAAGAACGCACAGAGACAAGGGACGGTCTTACTTTAGCAGCAATGGGAAGTTTAAAACAACCTTCCAACATCATCAGCAAAGGCAATGCGGGAATTCTCCCTCTTTTGTGACACAATTCTGTCAATTAGCTGAAAACAGCAATTACCAGCCCTTTTCTTTATTATTTGTGAAGAATCAAAACTTGCTGAGGATGATAAATGGCTCCTTGGAAATTGCAGCACTCGGTTCTGCTAAATCTGCACTTTCTTGTTTTGTGGGGTTTTTGATACTTTTTTTACCTGTTCTTTCACACAGCCTATAAAAAGAAAGTAGGGGCTGCTGAGAGGAAAGGAGAGACAGGACACACATCATGGAAGGAAAATGCCAAGGAATGGTTTAAAGGAGAACACAGAGCTTTCCTTGTTTCACTCACTGACCAGTGACACGTTCCCGCACCCTCATTAATCAGACAGAAAAGTTAACACTGTTGACCACATTAGGAACAAAACCTCATTTAAGTTCTTCTGAAACAAAACAGACACAAGCCAATGCATTCAGAGGGTGACCTTTGAGAATGCTGCTTCATTAACATTTCAAACAGCACAGCACAATATTAAGACAGGAAATAGACTTGCGATGCTATTTGGCTGCAGAAATATATATCAATTACATGCCCATAAATAACAGGATACCAATATTTGTTCCATTGTCGCTGCTAATAATGGTGTAACATGCAATGAGCATTTCTCCTAACAAAAATCAAGGAGCATATTTAAGTTTATTCCACTTCTTATGTACATTAAGTGAAGCCAAAAGAGGCCCTTTTGTTCTTTGAAAGGGATGCTCTCCATGCCTGCCCTCCCAGGCTCACCTAAAACAATTGCAGACAGTAGGTACAAGCTGCATTTAAAACAGAGTCCCATCATCCCTTCCCACCCCACAGCAGCAAGCTAACTGGGGAGCTCCCAATAACCCACACAGGCACTACAGAAAGCAATCCAGATGCTAACATTACCTCTTCCATGCAATACCACAGTGTTAGCGGATCCCATTCTTCTCAAGGGAATCATTTTTCCCCAAGACATGACAGCAAATCCCTATCCATACCTAATTGTTCAGAACACTGAGCTCACATGCCATTTCTTGGTGCCTGCTGTGTACTAGCCAGACACAGCCACACTGGGCATGATCATACTCATTTGACACTGCCCCGCTCCTATGGCACAGGTAACTGAGCCTGCTCTGTGCTTCAGGTTTTGGGATCTTGCAGTGGAAGGAAAAATATGCCATTCAAAACAATGCTTAATAGGCAAATGCAATAGAGCACTCAGGGCAACCCAGCACTCAACTTGGTGGCCTTGATTTGCTATGAAGGATTTCAGTGCAACCCACTGAAATAAGGATGAACCAAGGTGCGATCAGCAGTGCCACAGGAGGACCAGAGTCAGCATGCCTGAAAGCCAGAGCAAGGTCTGGGAGATGGACATGGTAGCAAACGGCTTCTTGAGGTTCCATGAACTTCAGCCTCCTCTTGGATAAACTAGTGGTAACACCCCTCTTCAAGAAACAGGGTCAGGACCTTCCTTAGACTGCAATCAATTAGTTAACATGGAATTTACTGCCCAGGCAGGGAAGGAAGCTGCTCCTGCAGCATGTGGTTCCCATCGCAGACAGCTTGGCCTGGGTCTGACTTGCACATGCTGCCAAGGTAATGCCTATTCATTCCTACCATCATAGTGCAGCCCTTTGTAGGGCCAAATGCAAGTTTTGGGGGTTTTGAACATTCACACAGAAACCATACATAACAGTTCCCAGGGCAGAATGAAGGGCTGGGCACGACAAACTCTTCAAGTGCCACTGCCAGTCCTACAGTTGTGTGATTAAGTCAAGTTATGTCACTTGAATCTGTTCCCCTATTAGCCCTCTTCTATGCAAGGAGGCTAAAGTAGCAGGGAACGAAGCTTACTTTCTTGTAACAGACTAGGGGGATTAGCTAACCTCCTTCTATTTGCATTAAGACATCATTTATGTTATGAGTTTTCATACAAAGTCACAGAAAAATCAAATACTCAACTGGCTGATTGTTTGGGTCACAATAATAAGCTTGCCCATAAAACATCCCATCAGACCGTTACACAGTCACTGCTGTGCCACAGTTTATGTCACCAACCTACTAAGGGTTAAGGAAATTATTATTGTGGCGTTGAGAGACTTAGTAAACAGCAGAAGTTCAAGGATGAACCAGATTTGTTGATCCCAGCAGAGAGCTACAGTTAAGATGCAATATTTCCTTATGTGTGTGTGTGTCCCTTTACTGTTCATCAGTATTAAAAAGGGAATTTATACTTTACAGCTCTCTAGGTTGGCCAGTGCATCTTACCAGCGGGCAGAATTAACCTGTCCATCACAACAAATTGTCCTTTCCCTCCTCTTATATTATCAAAGCCTATTGAGATTAAAGCCATAGGAAAAACATTCATTTGCTTCAAATTCATAGGCTTATGAAGTTATATTCCTACACACCAGTAGTCATCTTTAATAGGAAAAGCAAAATCCCAGATGTTCCCTGAATGGTAATGAAAGAGTTTGAGAAACATTATATGCATTTGCTGAACTCGCTCATCAACACCATAAAATATCTTGCCAGGATGCCCCAAACCAGCGCAGTCAGAAAGGCAACATTTCCATGGCTGATCTGTTTAAAGAGGAAAACTACTTACCCATCTGGCAAGACTGAAAGTGGCTTTGGGCGTCTTTCCCTTCCAGAAGGCTCTTCTCCAGTCTCTCCTACAGGTACCAGTCAGCAGAGCAGCGTTAAGGTAAGGGACGTTTCAAAATGCTTCACTGCTCCACACACCATCATCCAGAAAATCCCCTTTGACCAAAGTCAATACTACAGCTTTACAGTATAAATTGCCACGCTGATCTCAACAGTACCCATGCAAGGTGCTTCTAGATGCATTGTTGGTATACTCCTTCCGAGGTCTGAAAACCAGGAAAAGTCACTGTATTATGCAGCCACCTTATGTTTGTTCTTCAGTCGAATGTTCTCATCCTCCATTCACTTCACTAAGACTCTTCAACTGCACTTATCAAGCCAGCTGTAAATCTTCTAGTATCAGAACGCCTCCTCCTCTGACACAGCACTCCTTGTCAACCAGTTGAGCTGATTTACCTGGGTTAAAAAGTCTTTGTGCTTCCCTTGGGGTTGATCAGAGGCTGTAAAGCCAGGAATGACCACACTAGAATGAAAGGAAACCCAAATCAAATACGTCAGTATTACAGTTGATAAATACACCAAGCAGCTAGCCAATATACACATGTAAGTCAGCACAAGTTCACTGAAGTTGCAAAACTCCCTGGGGCATCCCGATACCATGGTAGTGGGAACAACCTAAGGGACAAAGGAAAGAATAAGTGGCTGCATGGACAGAACTGCTGCTGGGAGCTCTCCAGGGAGCTCTCTCATTGCTCAGGAGCAGCCACAGTTTTATTTGTGCGGTAAATAAGATCTCTTTCTTTCTGGAACTATGCTTGGAAGCACAGAAGTGACCCTTCCAAGCTCAGAGGAACACAGGGAAAGAAAGCCCTTTAGGAATCCCACATCTTTCTGTGCTGCTCCCACAGACCAAACTGTCTTTGGATGCTCACTGACAGAAAGACCTGTAACTCACAATTGAAGAAAAACACTTCCCTAAATTCCTTAGAAGCCTTTACTGGATACCCTTTATCATTCCGAGTCAAAACCACATTTCTTCTACTCACTAAAGCCCCCTACTACTTGAAAAGCAGAACTGCCTCAGGACAGATGTGTCCCTGCAAAGCAGCAGCAGAGCACAAATCCCATGTCCATCCCTTCCAGATGAGTCACATCCTCAAGGGGTGACAGTCAAATGCAGGGAAATTGGAGCTTTCACAGCTCAGAGGACAGACTGAAAAGGCAGAAAAGTGAAACCATTGAAGGGCTGAAAAGATCTGCTCCCCAAAAAGGCTGATTTTTAATTTCCCTGCTTTGCCCATATTAAGCAGCAGCACAAAAATTTGTATATTCAGCTGTATGTTTCAGTCAAGAGGAATAGGTAAAATTAATCCAGCAACCAGAAAAACGCTGAGGACAGGTGAGCATAATGCTTTCTCCAGCTCCTATCTGCTAATTGGTAAAGTACATGACTGCTTGTGGCTTGGTTTTCTCCCTCTTTTAACAAGGATAACACCCAGTACACATCCTTATGAAACCCTTCAGCAGATTTAGACTGCCTGAGCTGGGGGCTGAGGGAAGCCCAAACCTTCTGGTTTCATAAACAAATTGGAGCTGGCTGAGGATCTAACCTGCTACTGCCCCACTGATGATAGCAGCGATGCAGAAAGGTACCAAAATGGATTCCTCAGTCCTATCTCATTTTCTAAAGGGAGCACTGCTAAAACGCATGCGCCCTTGTCAAGATGAGGCCAGTTTTCAGTACTGGTACAAGCACAATGATATTGGTGATATTTTCAGCAAAGGATTCATTTCCCAGATTATAGCAGGCAGCTTATTAAAACCAACAAACACAGAAACCCCACAAGTATGAATAGGAGAGGTTTTCCTTGGCAGGATTCTGCAAATGACATAATACTCACTGCAATACACATAATTGCTCATGCCAAGCACAAACAGAAACAAGGAGACAAAGCCAAGAAGAAACAAGCACAAGTTCATAGAGAGCTTTTACGCAACAGGGGACATGTGTGAGATTAACAGAGAAGCTGACTAACAGTAAACCACCTCTCTAAACACACACCAATATCAAATCTGAGAGAAGCTATGCTGTAGCAGCAACCCACATCAAGTCACAGAAATCAGAGCACAGGATCCCAAGTAAGACCTTAGACCTCAAGGGATATATGTTAAGGGTGCACTGAAACTTATGACTAATCCTGTCTGCCCATCCAGCACTTTTCAGCAGCAAACACCACAGTGATCAGCCTGCCTGCCTAAAGTACCCACACAACAATGGGAGAACCAAATAGAATCAGAGGCTTCCATGAAGATCTATTCCTCAAAGAAACCCAGCAGTAAGAAAGAAAACAAATCCCATCCAACCCCCTTGAGAACCAGTCTCCCTGCATAGATAATAATGGGCCGCAATCAAGAATTTGTATTCCCACAGGCTTCAGCTGCTCAAACCTCATCAAATACACTTACAGCAACATAAGGAATGAGAGGGAAAACCAAACCCTGACCTGCGATGGGCATCCATAGTGCTTTCCTGCTCAGGTGAACAGCCGGACAACCAGCAAAGAAACCAGCTAGGAGGCAACCAGGCTTCTTAACCTGCAGAAAGCTGCTGTAATTAAGCCGGTGCCTAGAGCAATCAGCAGGATTTGAGACACCTGGGAGACCACGGACATTTTGTGACAAGGGAGGAGACCAACCCTGATTTCTCAGGTGATGGATGGCAGGAGAGCGATGCTAACACCTGCAGACATCAGCAGCTCTGCTCTCACCAGGCCTTTGTACCTTTTGTGGGAGCCACGAATTAATCCATCAGGATCCCATATGCAGTGAATCCAACCTGAGCTCTCTACTTCCGAGATGAACTGTAAATGACTAATTAAAGGCCAAATAGTGGTATCCTTACTCTCATTTCCCAGTACCTTACACCATGAGTGGTCCCTTTGGCTTCAATTAGTTGCTACCCTGATGGGTACTGACTGAACAGCAGATAAATGCCCAGTCTTGGCAAACTGTGAACTTCTGCCCCGGTGAGTTTTCCTATGGGATGCCTGGGCTCTTTGCAGCTGGCTGCTGTGCTCCAGGTGAGCATCCCAGAGCTCAGAAAGCTCCCAACACCACCCTCATCTGGAAGTCTGCTCTTTCCTACTGACAGATGCTGTGAGCCTGCACAGGTCACAGAAGGGCCTGGAGGAGCAGCTGGATCACCACAAGGGCTGCAAAGTTCATGGAGCTCCTTCCCTCACCCCTGGCAGGGCACATGTGTTATCAAAAGCTCACGCAGATAACAAACAGCAGCATTTGGATCAGGGCCCGGGGTTGTGCGCTGCAGAAAAGCAGGGGTTTATGCTTCAGTCTTTTAAGAGAGGAAGGATGGATGCTGTGATGTCAATTATGCCTCAAGACAAAGCCTGCTCAGAAGCCTCCAAAATGTACCAAAGAGGCGTTTTACTCACACATACCTTCTGCACTGAGCTCTGTGAAGGTCAAACGCAGCCCAAAACAGAAATACCCAAGGCATTTATAACCCCACACTTTCCCGCCCCCCCCCCCCCCGGAAGGAAAATTCATAGGAATCAGCTGTTATTCTGAATTTTGTAGCTTTTTTAGTAACCTCAGTCAAAGGGGAAAGCAATCTGATTTTTTTATGGCTTCTCGCAGCATGTTAAACACAGACTGGATGCTCTAGATTTATTGTGCAACCATTCCAGCTTGCACAGGTGTAACATACTGGTTTACATTAACTTCCCCCACCAATGTCTGTATTAATATATGGCACTTATCATGCTCCACAACAAGAGCAGGTTATCTTCCAGAAAACTGAATGTCTTTCACCTTCAGAAAATAAAATAATAAATTTAAAAAGCCAATTTCTTTTCATTTCCTCCTTGTCCTCAACCCCTTGGCCAACAGACAGGCAGGTTTTCCTGTGACCCTTCTGAGCACAGGCCAACAGAGGGTCATTAGGAGAGCAAGAGCAGCCCTGGGAGCAGCAGCATCACTGGAAAAGAGCCATTTCTTGCTCACCAACTTCCCTTTCTACCTGTAACTTCGAACTGTACCAATTGCACAACCTGCTTTTGGCACCCCACGTGGCTGTGCCAAGCGGAGTGGACTTCAGGGCACTGGATGACTCCAGAGGTCCCCATAAAGCTCCATGCAACAGCTCTAAGGCAGGAGTGATCCAAGCAGGTCTGCAGAGCTCATTCCCAGCTTTGCCTAGGGGCTTGTTTGGGTAGGAGGACTCGTCTCTCCTGTGGTAAGCAGGGAAGCTGTGGAGGAGCTAAAATCACTGAACTTTTAAGTATCTCATGACCTTTTTGCCCAGCCTTTGCTGTTGTCAGACCAGCAGCAGGTACCTTTGCCAGCAACATGGTGGGGAAAGAGGAAAAGCACCCAAGTGAAATAAGGGCAGAATAAACTTGGCTTACCGTCTCCTGTCTCTTCCTCAGAGCATCCCTGGTTGCAGGCTCACTGTTAGAGCCCAGACTGGCTAAAAACCGGGAACAAAAGGCCTGCTCACCAGCCCGCCTTGAACCAGCAGCTACCAGTCGGGGTAAGAGAACACTGCTGTAGCAGTGTGCAGGCGCAGCCGCAAAATGGGGGCATGAAGGAACAGAAAACACGCCTTGGGTCCTTTTGGGGTCAGTTGCTGAGGTGAGCAGCTCGAGAGAGGACCCTTCAGCACCGGAGCGGGAGGAGATCAGCGTCCAGGAGCCTCAGCTCGGAGCGGCGAGAGCACTGAGGTGAGCGTCGAGCGCCACACAGCAGGCGGCAGCGCCGCTGAGGCGGGCGGGGACTCAGAGGGGGCGGAGCCAGGAGGAGCGGCACCAGCCCTGATTGGTTACAAGGGAGCGCGAGCGGTCAGGGCGGGACGGGGCCGTTCGCGCCGGCGGGAGAGCGCTCGCCTCAGGAGCAGGGCCCGCTCTGGGAGCGCTGCCAGCGTAGGCACCCAGCAGAGCCGATGAGGGGGAGGCTGCAGGGCAGAGCTCGGGGTGCAGAGAGTGCCTGCACCGGTCTGGTGAGGGGAGGGGGCACAACGGGCAGGGCTGCACTGGTGGAGGTCCTCCTGCAGCAGGGGCTGAGCTGCGAGATGCTGTTGATAGTCTGCGAGATGTCAGGGAAGCTGAGAGGAAGCAGGAATGCTTGCTCCAGGCCCAAACTGTGCTTCCCCGCTAGCTCATGGGGGAAAGAAGGAGGCTGCTAACCCAGGGAGCTGGGAAATAGTGACAAAAAAGAACAGCACAAAAAGGAGGAAGAGGACAATTAAAAGCAAGGGGCTTCCTCCTAAACCTGTTACCGCTTTGCTGCCCCTTCAGGGGGGTGATGAGGAAACACACTCGCACCATAAACAACCACCTGATGCACTGGTAAAGAAGATCTCTACTGGTGCTGCCAGGAAAAAGCGGCTGGTTGTAGTGGTAGGGGACTCTGCTTTGAAAGGGACAGAAGCACTTGTCTGTTGGCTTGACATAAAAAGGACATGGAACTGTTGGAACAAGTCCAGAGGAGGCCATGAGGATGATCAGGGGACTGGAGCACCTCCTGTATGGAGACAAGGTGAGGAAGTTGGGGCTGTTCAGCCTGGAGAAGAGAGGGCTGAGTGGAGACCTCAGAGCAGCTTCCAGTGTCTGAAGGGGGCCTATAGGGATGCTGGGGAGGGACTCTTCGTTAGGGACTGTAGTGACAGGACAAGGGGTAACGGGTTCAAACTTAAACAGGGGAAGTTTAGATTGGCTAGAAGGAGGAAATTCTTTCCTGTGATGGTGCTGAGGCACTGGAATGGGTTGCCCAGGGAGGTTGTGAATGCTCCATCCCTGGGAGTGTTCAAGGCCGGGTTGGACAGAGCCTTGGGTGACATGGTTTAGTGTGAGGTCCCTGCCCATGGCAGGGGGGTTAGGACTGGATGATCTTAAGGTCCTTTCCAACCCAAACCATTCTATGAGTCTCTTCCTAAGCAGCAAGTTGTGGAAATAAATGGACCCGTTTTGAACCCTTGTCATCTATAATCACAAAGAACGAAAATCTCGTAACTTTTAAAGCTTGTAACCATTTAATCACACCAAACCTCATTATTCTTCACAAAAAAAAACAGCCAATCGACTCCTTTCCTCAGCTGATCTCCCCCCAAACCCTCAACCTTGGTCTGTGTGTGCACAGCTTGGTTCAGAGCAGCAGGACCTAAACAGCCCCAGCATCCTCCTTATCCACAGAGGGCTTCGGATGACCCAGGAAAGCCTCATAAAACAAGGCAAACACAGCAAAGATTGTGCTAATTAAATGGAGACCATCAAAAGCAATTTAAGTTTTTAAAGGAATCTTACATTGTTTATAAAGGGAAGCTGATGCTGTTCAAATGGCTCCTAAGAGGACAATACCAGCAGCAAGTCTGCAGCATCCAGAGTATGTTTGTCTACCAGATACTTAGTAATCTATGTATGCTTACTATAAGTGAAAACATACACAGACCTTGGCAGGCCAGACACCCACCGTGGATTTAACACACACTGCTCCTAAGTCTATTTATTTTCTCACATGCCTAAAGCAAGCCCAGAAGGCTTCAAGTGAAACCTTCTAGGGTGCAATACCACTGCCACAGGCACAGGTAGGGAATAAATGACTTCAGGTGCTTTGGGAACACGAGCAGTGCTGCAGGCAGAGAGGCAGGCAGTGGAAAATAAATACAGCTAAACAGTAGGAAACAGATTACTTTTGCTCCTTCAGGCTTCCCACTGGGGAAGCGGATGGCAAATACAAGGCTGGAAAGGGCTTCCAGAGTTACCAGTGCCCTAGATGAGGAAGCTATCCCCTTTCCTTTTACATTCTTCAGCTGTTAGTGTTGTGAAAACCGGTGATTGTGTTGAGCAAACACTGTGCTCCTGGGGTGAAGGCATCGGTGCTTCTTGTTTGCTGCCCATGATCTCCAGCCAGAAGGGATCCCAAACCAAGCAGGGTTCATTGCTTTTTAGAGTTGGGCATCAGGAGAAAGGCCACATCCCTGACCTGTCCTTCAGGAAGCGGCTGCAGAAGGGGGTCCTGTGTTTGCTGTGAGCACTGATTTGCAACTACCTTACTCGGGGGGAGGGTTACAGCTGCACCCCCCAACCTGCTTACTTCAAGGATTAAAATTCAAGGCCCCAAAACTGGCCTGTTCTGGTGCTTAGAAGCAGCAAATTCTGTTTAAGCTTTTTCTACTTTTTTTTTAATCCAATGTATCTTTAAGGTAAAGGGCCCAGCTCTTTCTTCCATATACACTCTGCCTACTAAGTATTTACAGCTCAAAGAACACACTGCACCTAAGAACTGCTAAACTGCTCTAAATCAATGCTAATCTGCCAAATTGCCCCATATCAAAGGCTCTGTAAGTCCATTAAGTACCACGAAATGAAGAGCTGTTGAGCAGTGTCAGCAGCATTAAAACCCACAAGGTTTTTGTGCACTGATTGATAGTGTTCATACCTGGCTCCAAACACAGCCCCACACAAACCTCAACCTCAGGACAACCTGCTATAATGGTGTCACAAGCAGGTGAAAGACGAAAGGAAATAGGTGACCCTTCCTCCACTCCTGCCCTTGCTCCTAAGGT